TGAACCTTTCGATGAACGCAACACACCCATCCTTGTCCATTCCTGCGAAATCGATGTCCGAAAACCTCTGAGTAATTCGACCGGTGTAGCGTATGGGGTTTCTGGCGAACATTCCTTGGAAGTGGACATCTACTTGTAAGAATACAGGTTCCATGCTTGAGGATGCAGAAGCAGCTCACAAAAAAAGGTTTATCGATGAAGTGTTGAACAGTGGAGGTAAAAGGGTTCTTTTATAAAGCATATATCGACAGTAAGAAGGAAGCGACTAATTAATGACATGGCATTAGACGAAAGTCACGGTCAGCATCCGATGTGGTGTTAGTAGAAGGAGGTGGACTTAAAATGACCGGCTAACTCCTTCACAATTGAAATAAGGACTTAATCGACCCGACAAAGAGTAATTTGTTACCTTATTAAGCCACAAAATAAGTTAAGTGGCTAAATAGATAAACCCTAAAAACATTATAGGGCCTATACGTCATTTTCCCTTACATTTTTTGTATGTTATCTTATAAAAACCCTGACTTGGAAACAGCAAGGGCATTAAAATGAATTGATTTTTCTTTGGTTTATTTCTCTTTTTGACCTAGTTGTATCAACATATAGGTGTCCATTCAAATGTTGTGATGAGGGTTCTAAGTTCTATTATGGACGAAAGGTATAAATTTAGAAATAGAATAAAAATAATAATAATAATAAGATTAATTTTTGAAGTTTGAAAATTATGTACAAGTAGAGTGAGTGATTAACTTATTTTTGTGAGAGTGTGATCTGGTCGCTAATGTGTTTTGAGACATGTATCATCCACCTCACAAATACAATACAAATTTCTGCAATCATGTTTTCTTCTGTTATGAAAAAGACACAGGACCTATTATTATTGCAGGAGAAATGAAATGTTATTGATGAAAAACTTGCATTTTGAATTTTAAATAAATAAGAAGAGTGAGCAGAGCATATTATACAGAAATGGCATCATCACCAAGAAAGAAAGAGGTCCTATTACCTATACACATGTGGCTAACTAATTACCAAGTAAATGTTATATCATCACAAAAGGGGAAGGGGAAGGGGAAGGGGTGGGGTAAATTTGTAATAACACAAGCCCAAAAAAAATTGGTACTCTTCTTACTGCTTGAAAGAATGGATTGGAATTGGGTGATGACGTGGAAAATGAATTTTGCAGAAAATGGAATTCAATCGGATGCAGAATCATAGAAGTCGCTTGGGCATGGAGTCATAACCTCGGATTCAAGTGTTTTGACGACCCTGTCCATTGTGGGCCGATCTTCAGGACTCGGACTCACACACTGAATTGCAACCGACAGCAGAGCATCAGATGTCTCCGCCTCCACCCCCTCACACTCTCCATCAATTATCTCTCGCTGCCTATCCTCCGTCACCAAATAATTCAACTGCAATAAAATCAAAAATTAAATCAAATAACAGAAATAAAAAAAACATGTATCTTACCACAAAAGACAAACAATAGATGGATGACATCACATGACATACCCAGCCAACAATATTAAGGCCTTTCTCTATGAAAGAAGCATCCGTGGGCCTCTTTCTACTTACAACCTCAAGCATCAGCACACCAAAACTATAAACATCCGTCTTCTCTGTTGCTCTACCACTTTGCATGTATTCTGCATCAAACAATAATTAAATAACATGTACATATACTTTTTGATTGATGTTGGTTTGTTACCTGGAGCTAAGTATCCAAAAGTTCCTGCAACAATGGTGGTGATGTGAGATTCTTCATCTTCCAGCAGTTTTGCAAGTCCAAAATCAGAAACCCGAGCTTCGGAATTTCCATCAAGCAAAATGTTGCTTGATTTTATATCACGGTGTATAATTCGAGGGGAACAGTCATGATGCAAATAAGCCAGCCCTTTTGCAGCTCCCATGATTATCTTCACCCGTGTCTCCCATGCCAGTTGTTCATCACCATTTTCTGATAACAAATAATTCCTCCCTCAATCTCAATCACAACAACAAAATTATTATAAAACAAAATTATTACCATGGAGAGCTTCATCTAGGCTGCCACCTGCTAAGTAGTCATAGAGCAAGAGTTTTGAAGTTGGAGAATTGCAGTATCCTCTCAAATTCACCAAGTATTTATGTTTGATGCTTCCAAGAATTGCAAGCTCTCTCTCAAAAAAACGATCAAATCCTTCGTTTAATTTTACGATTCTTTTTAAAGCAAAAACGTTTCCATCATCCATTGAAAGCTTGTAGACTGTTCCAAATCCTCCAGCACCAATTATATGCTCATCATTTAAAGCTTCCAGCTTTTTTATTATATCCTTTGATGAATATGGCAAGTCTCCATGAAACATCACAATCGATGCACCTGAACCAATCAATAACAAAAAAAATACTCTTATTAATAATTATAAAGCTCATATTATTCTATTTAAAACTTATTTCAATCTTTACTTACCTCCACTCACATCCTTTGCAATCCCTTTTGCATCATTTTTCCCAAGTTTTTTATAGAGAAAACAACCCCAGAAACACATGAGGGCAACAAGAAGCAATGCACCAACAGTAGCAGAAGCACTAATAAGTAACCTTCCAGAATTCTTTTTCACATTTTGACTCCCTACACAAACAAAATAAATCACTCAAATGTAAAAAGTCAACCAACAACTTTTACAAGGAAGAAAATAAAACCTGTAGGCTGTTGATTTCCAACTTCATCTTTGCATAACTTATTAATTTGCTTCCCACATAAGTCACTGTTTCCAACAAACCTGTAGGTATCCAACCAAAAGTAAGCACCAACTTTGCCTTACAACACATTTTTATTTTCATTTTTTTAGATAATAAAATATGTGATAATTAGGAAATTTAAGTTCAGAACTCACGAGTTACTTCCAAATTGGTCAAAAACACCATCTGTTGGGATTGGCCCAGCTAGAAAATTGGATGAGACATTGCTTCATGGGTAACAAAGAATTAAAGTCAGTAGAAGGTTGGAAAATAATATTTTAAAAAAGATCAAATGGGGAAAAGAAAATAATCATGCTTACAGGTTTAGAAGGTTCCTCAAATTCCCAAGTGATGTGGGAATTCTACCATCAAGAGAGTTACTAGAAATATCCCTGCAACAAGAAGCAAAATGTATATTAGTTATCAGATGATACAATTTCAAATGCACAGCTTTTATAATTGTACTTAAAGTGTTCAAAAGCTACCATAAAAGAGTTAACTTACAATGTTTGAAGGTTCGAAAGGTTTCCCAATCCAGTAGGAATAAATCCACTCAAGTAATTATTCTGCAAAAATCTGTCAAAATAATAACAACAGAAAAAAAAAGGAAGCGATCATCAATATCTCAAAAAACAAGAATATAATCCAATCATATCATATTACAACAACTTGTGCTTACAATCCTTGCAGCTCTGTACAATTTCCCAACTCTGGAGGAATTTCTCCATAAAAATTGTTGTAATGAAGATCTCTACAGCATGTCACATATACAGCATCAGTAGTTGTATTAACTATTAAGCATGCAAAAAGTTGTTAAAAAGAGTTTAAAAATCACATACAAGAATTTCAAGTGATCTAGCTTTCCAATATCTGGTGATATGAGTCCCTTTAACTTGTGATTGGAAACATTCAAAGATATAACTCTCATGGTTTTTTGATCACATATTACCCCTTTCCATCCACATGGATCAGGATCCTCTGGTCTCCATTGACCAAGAACATCATCTGAACTAATAATGCTTGTCCGGAAGTTCACAAGAGCTTCACCTAAACAATTAACACAAAACATTCTAAAATTCTTAAAAGATTGCATCATAGAAAACATACTGATATCAAAATATGATTATGATTTGAAGATGGTCATTTACATCCTTAAAAAAAAACAACAACAAATAAGAAGGAATAAAGTTGACATACCATCTGCAGTGAGACTTTGGCATATGTCCACCAAACAACATAGCAATAGAATGTACAATGGCAATGACCCTTGAAAATCTTTAAGGAGAATTCCCATTGCTGTGCTGATTGAGCATAATAAATAAAATTCCTACAGATCATCTGATACACAAGGCATCAAAAAATCTCCCTTGGAAACACATTTGCTGATTAACGTGACCATCTAGCAGCTGCAGGATGTACAAGTTTCCATTTAAGAGAATAATTCAATAACACGAAAAGAAAATATATAAATTTATCACAAGAATTATTTGCATTAAGTAACAACCATTATTGCATCATATGCATCTTTTGTGAATTAGGACAAGTGATTCGTGAAAGATTTAAAAATTAATAATTTGTTGATTTGATTGCTCTGAGATGAAAGTATAACCTGGCAGCAGAAGACAACTTTCTATTTAGGCTGAAGACCAGAAGTTCATCGACTATTATTATTAGAAACCTGAGAAAGAGAGAGATAAGGAAAATATCTACATCAGCACCACCCAAGAAATAAGATTTATAAAATGGATAAGAGAGTGAATAAAGAAACAAAGAAAAAGCATCAATTAAGGGTACCACATTTCCTTTTGTGAAAATCAGGCTTAAGCATTTCCAATACAATATACCACAGCTTCCAGGTAGGTGCAAAATGATGAAATAATTAAAGATAAAACATTTTAAGAAAACCCCGCAGAGTGCACATAGCTTATGACTAGAGTTATCAGAAGAATAACATGTATGCACCTGCAACATAAGCAAGTGATCCATATTATCCTAGAAGGTAACTTGGTCAAAATAAAGTAGAAATGTTATGCAGCAAGATTATGCTTATCAGAGTAAACCAAGAACATCGTGAACAATCATTACAACAGAATTTTGGAATGTCTAAGCTAACAATAATCTACGAGGATAAAAGGAAGTCACGAGCTTAAAACCCTCTGCAATTTATGAATATGAATGTATGTTACAGTTTACACATGTTGAGGATTTGAGGATTTTACATATACAGATGAAGATGATAATACCATTGAAGTGGCTTCTAATCTCTCCTCTTTCTGGTGTACAAATTCTGCAGCAGTATGGCCGAAATGTCCTCCTTCCCTGCCCATGAATAAGTACAATGTTCAGATAGCTACCCAACACCTAACATGGTACTGATATAGTCCTCAATCACAACGATACGTTTAGGAAATAATAGTTACATGCCCCTTATTCTAATCATTACTATCACCCCTTTGGTATTAAACCCATATGCAAAAACCCCTAAATGACAGTGTAATCTATAAAGACATTCAAACGTTATCCACTATTAGCAAATCAGAAATCATCATTGTGGCTAGACACAATCAGAAGGCTAGTAAGGCAGCTATAACTGGAGCTACTTTTGCTTCATTCAAGTAAATTACATGTATCGCTACTGAAATTAAGCCGATAAAAAACAAATTTAATCAGTATAGAACTGATAGTCACCGTGTTTTGGATCTGCAATTGAGGAGTTGAGCAAGTAGAAGCCGGAAGTTTGAGCTGTAAAGTAGAGAAACCCCTAATAGAAAAAGGAGTGTGTGTGTGTGATCATGAAGGGGAGAGAGAAGATGCTCTAGACATAAATATGGGGCAGGGCATCAGCGTCACCAATTAGCACAGAGTGGCGTCGCACGTGGGAGAACGATTGTTCATACGTGCGACCGACGCTCGCTTCATATAAGTTGGACTGTTGGACCATAACCCGTGTCATGTTTTTTTCTTTTTCAAAATATCTCCTCCAACTTTGACCGAACAAAAACATGATATTAGAATTTTTAGTAAATTACTATTTTGGTCCGTGAGGTATATATTGTTGTGTAGGTTAGATTCTAGGTTTATAAAATTTGACGGACTACCACGGGAATTTTCTGATCATTGTCCGCTCCTGTTAAGCACTGCGGTGGTGGATTTCGGTCCATCTCCTTTTAGATTTTTCAACAGGTGGCTTAATGATACTAGTTTGGTGGAGGTTGTTAACATCGTGAATGGATCTTTTCTTTTCACGGGTCCTCCCGACAAACTCCTATCTTGTAAGCTTAGGCGGATCAAGAATATGATCAAGGATTGGAATGCCAAAAAGAGAGAATTGGAATTAGGTGAGCTGATTAAACTGAGATAATGGATCGATGCCCTTGATCTTATTGCAGAATCCAGGGGCCTTTCTAGTGTGAAACTTGAGAATCGGCTGGAATGGAAAAAGAAATTACTAGAGCTTGAGCAAAACAGGTGCCTTGATCTCAAACAAAAAGCTAGGATCAAGTGGGCATTGGATTGCGAGGAAAACTCCCAATTTTTTCATGGGATTATTGATTCCAATCAATCAAATAACCGTCTTCATGGCCTTTCCATTAATGGGATATGGACAACTGATCCTGCTGCTATAAAAAATGAGGTGTTTTCTTTTTTTAATGATAAGTTCTCCGAACCCTTCATATCTAGACCAAAGCTCTCCTGTAATTTTTATCGCACTCTCTCGGATTCTGATGCAGCTCATCTAACAGCCCCTTTCATATCCTCTGAAATCAAAGCAGCTGTTTGGGCTTGTGGTAATGAGCGAGCCCCCGGGCCCGATGGCTTCTCTTTCAAGTTCATTAAATTCTTTTGGGGCTCTCTTGAAGCTGACTTCGTGAATATCTTTAACCAGATTCACACAGGTGGTACTCTCAACGTGGGGTGCAACTCCTCGTTTATTTCCCTAGTTCCAAAGACCAAGGATCCGATTTCTCTATCGGATTATCGCATGATTAACCTAATTGGATGCATTTATAAGGTGATTGCAAAAGTCTTCGCCAATCGCCTCAGGACTATTATTGGCTCGGTTGTGGGAGAGGTTCAGTCTGCATTCATTGCGGGACGCAACATTTTAGACGGGCCTCTTATGATCAATGAGGTCATCTCTTGGTTAAAAAGATCTAAAAGACAGGCACTTCTATTTAAGGTGGATTTTAATAAGGCTTTCGACTCCTTGAGTTGGTCTTTCCTGGAGTTGATCATGGAACAATTGGGTTTTCCTCAGCTTTGGCGCACACGGATCATGGGTTGCCTCTCTTCATCTCGCACCTTGGTTCTGGTAAACGGTTCCCCAACTGTTGAATTTTCAGTCTCCAAGGGCGTTAGGCAAGGGGACTCCCTGGCCCCGTTTCTCTTCATGGTTGCAATGGAGGCTCTGAATGCGGTTATGACAAAAACATGTGATCTAAGTGTTTTTTCAGAGATTAACCTCCCTCATGATGGCCCGCGTCTCTCGCATCTCTCCTATGTTGACGACGCTCTTTTATTCGGAGAATGGTCACAAGCTAATCTCCTCAATCTTGCGAGAATTCTAAGGTGCTTCAACTTAGCCTCTGGTCTTAAGGTAAATTTTTCAAAAAGTCGAGTCTTTGGTATTGGTGTTAACTCAAGCACTGTGGAACTTTCACTCACTTCCTTCACTGCCAGCCTTCTGTTCTTCCATTCACTTACTTAGGTTTATCGGTTGGGTCCAATATGTCATTGGTTCGGAATTGGCAGCCCGTCCTCGACAAATTCTGTGACAAGTTGTCAAATTGGAAGGCAAAAACACTTTCTTTTGGCGGACGAATTACTCTACTTAATTTGGTCTTAGGGAGTCTACCCCTTTTTTACTTCTCGCTCTTTAAAGCTCCTTTGAAGATTATAGATGACCTCGATAGAATCCGTAGAAAATTTATTTGGGGTGGGTGTGACTCTAGAAACAAAATCTGTTGGGTTAGCTGGGATAAAGTTCTAACGCCTAAAAGATTTGGTGGCTTGGGTGTGATAAATTTGAGAGCCTCAAACTTGGCTCTATTGGCCAAATGGATTTGGAGGCTTAAAGTGGAATCGTCTGCCCAATGGTCCAATCTGATCAAGTCTCTGCACTCCCTACATAGATCTTGGAAAATGTTCCATGTTCGGCTAGGTGTTTCCGGGGTTTGGAAAAATATTGTTGGCACTATTTCTGATTTCGGTTCTCAAAATATTACGCTTCAAGACATGTTCAAAAGAGTAATAGGGATTGGGAACTCTTTTTCTTTCTGGTTCGACAATTGGGCTGGGAATTCTGATCTTAGATCTAAATACCCTTCTCTTTTTGCTCTTGAATCCTTTTAAAATTTGTTCCATTGCAGATAGATGTCAGAAAATGGACGGTTCGTTGGTTGTCTCATGGAATTGGCGGAGTCCTCCTAGCTCCATCACAGAACTGTTGGAACTTGATAGTTGTTTGAACGACCTCTCATTGGTTTCTATCGGTACCTCATATGATAAATGGAGTTGGCGTGGTTGCAGTTCTGGGGTTTTCTCTGTGAGCTCTTTACGTGGAGCTTGGGAGTCAAAAGTCTATCCCCCACTTGAGTATAAACACTTTTGGAATAATCTGGTATCTATTAAAATCAACTTTTTTGCCTGGCGAGCTGTACTGAATAGGTTACCTGTGAAAACTGATCTCATAAAAAGAGGAGTTGTTTTGAACTCTGGTACATGTGATCTATGTGGTGCAGGTGTTGAATATGTTATACATCTTCCCTGGGAATGTTGTTGGGTTCGAGATGTCTGGAGTATGGTTCAATACTGGTGCGAGCTTGATCTCTCTGATATTAATTCTGTTGAACATCTCCTCTCTGCCTCCCACTCCTTTGCCAAATCGCCTTCTCAAATAAAGATGACTCACGCGATCATTTTTTCTGCTCTTTGGTCTTTGTGGAAAGCCAGAAACGACTGCTCCTTTAACAATATTACTCCATCTCAGGCCCATATTTTTGAAGATATTAAGGCGAACTCTTTTCATGTGGATAAAAAACAGGAGAGGGGTACCTCCTTAAATTGGTCTTCTTGGTGCATTTTCCCTTTGATGTAATTCTTGTACTTTTGTCTTTTCTACTGTTCTACTTTGCCCTAGCTGCTTGCTAGCGGTTTAATAAAAATTTCGCCGTTCAAAAAAATAAAATAAAATTTGACACTTCTTATGGTCGGGAAATCTTTCAGTTTTGGTCCCCATCAGTATCACATTTCTCGTCGATGTTATTTCGTTAAGTACGTATGAAATAACTAAAGTGACCATATTTTTGCATTTTTCTGATTTTGTCTTTTCTGTTTCTTAAAACTAGTATTATTACTAAATTATATAATCTCTGTATCACCACCATAACCACATTATACCATTATTGTTGTTACCGCTCCACCAATATCGTTGTCGGACTCACCACACCAAACACCATTGTCACCACCACCAATCACCACTATCACCATCGCCAATCACCACCATCACCATCATCCACCAACCACTAGCACCGCTAATACTATCACCTGCACCAAATTTAAATCACAAACCAAAAATTAGAATCAAATCAAAATCTTATCATATAATCAAATAAAAATAATGAATGGAAATGAAACCACTAATTAAATTAAAAAATAAGAGATTATAGTTGCAGGGGAAGAAAGAAAGGGAAATCAAAGAAGATCCAACCTCTTCTTTCACTTGGGCCCTATATAAAGATACTAACCCCAGGGTTCATCATTTCACAACCTCCATCTCCTCATAAAACAAACCCTATCCCCTGAGAGTGTTCATGATTGAGTTTGGACCCTTAGAATATATAAAGCTTCCACATTTATGATTTTTAGTTCATAAATCTTGTTGATATGTCCCTTTTGGTTCCTTTTGATGGACGTTCTTGGAGTTTGAGCAACTCGAGAACCCTATAAAGTGTATTAAGATGATTTTTGGACTTAATATGACAGAAAAGAGGGTGTGACAACCGTCAAATTCTGGTCAAGTCAAAGTCAATTAAAGTCAACAAGTCAAACCGGTCAACTCTACTAACTCTTGTATACTAGGGTTCACTTTATGTAATTACTGTACAACTCACTATTTTAATAAGAAATCATCACTTGAAAAGTTTGTATTTTTAGATTTCTTGAACCCTAATCGGGGTAAGTGAGGTAGTAAAGCGATAAAACACTATTACATACCCTTCGGGGGTGTGTAAGACCCTTAAACATGGCTAAACGAGGTTTGCGGACCTTGCGTTTCAAAGCCAAACACTCAAATCTCTCTAAGTATGTGAAATCTCTCCCAAATCTCTCTAAGTATGTGAAATCTCTCCCAAATCTCTCTAAGTATACAAAATCTCTCCAAGTATGTCAAATCTCTCCCAAATCTCTCCAAGTATGTCAAATATCTCCCAAATCTCTCTAAGTATGTGAAATCTCTCTCAAATCTCTCTAAGTATGTGAAATCTCTCCCAAATCTCTCTAAGTATGAGAAATCTCTCCA